CCACCTGCCTTGGCCTCCCAAAGTGCTGGGATTACAGGTGTGAGGCACTGCACCTGGCCCCATAAAGTTCTTGTGTATTGAAACTTAAAAACAGAATTCTAAATAATTCATGGCTCAAATAATAAAAATTTAGAAATACTCAAAACAAGAATTTAAAAAATATTATTTATAACTAGCATAGGGAAAGCTGCACTCAGAGGGAAATGCATAGTTTTAAATACATATATTTGGAAATAATGCAGTTTGAAAAGTAACAAGCTAACTTCAACTAACAAAGGTACAGGGGGAAACATAAATCCAAAGAAAGGAAAGGGAGAAGGTAATAAAAGAGCAGGTAATTAATAGGGGGAATAATATCATACAGGAGATAGAATCAAGGAAGCTATATGCTGGCACTTTGAAAAGTCTAATAAAATAGACCTATCTCTGGTGCTATATTGATCAAGAAAAAAGAAAAGACACAAATATTTAACTACAAACCCACAGAAGGTATTTAACTGCAAATACAGCAGAGATTTTAAACATAAGAGAATAAGCAGTTTTATGATGATATATTTGAAAATTAGATAAAATAGACAAATTTCTAGAAAAATATAATTATGCTGACTCAAGAAGAAATAGAAAGTTGGATAGTCCTACAATTATTAAAGAAATTGAAATAGTATTAAAAATCTTGCCACAACAAAACACAGGCTCTGAGAGTTTTACAGGTGAATTGCTCAAAACTTCCATAAGACAAATATTCCAATCTAACAAAAATTCTTCCAGCACGCAGAAAGAAAGACAACGCTCTCCAACTCATTCTATGAGCTCAGTATAATTTTAATTTAAAAACTGGACAAGATCAGTAAGAGAAAAATCATAAGCCAAGCTCATTCACAAACATAGGTGTAAAGTCTTTTTAACTATTAGCAAAATAGATCTAGCCATGTTTTTAAAAGATAATGTCATATTATTCCTGGAATGCAAGGATGGATTGATATCATAAAATCTATGTATGTCATGAAGAATTAACTTTACTCAAAGACAGATCTGGTCTTTGTCTCACCACCTGGGAGTTAACCTCCAAACCCTTGAAATTTCCTGAGTAATAGGAGGGACTTTGTTACTCATGGTGGGCTTTTTTGGCCACACCTGCTAGTTTATGCTAATGGGGTGACTCACAGTGGACCCTTTGGACCACACCATATAGTTTATGCTAATGAAATCATTCAGAGTGGAGGCTGACCATGCCAGAAAGACCAACCATGTGATTAGAGGATTAGGGCTCTGGGCCACTGAAATCAGCCAGATCTTGGCAGGGAGAGAGGGGGTGTGCACATTGTTGGAGATTGAGATCAGCCACATGGGCAGCAGCTCAATCATTCATGCCTATATAATGAAGCCTCAATCAAAATGCTGGACACCAAAGTTTAGGTGGGTGTCCTGGGTTGGCAATGCCCTGCTTGTTGTCACACACTGATGCAAAGAGAAGATTGCATCCCTGAGAACACAAAAGCTTTTTGTTTGAAAACCTCCTAATTCCAGATTCTTCCCTTTGCACCTATCTCTTCTGTGGGCTGGCTCTGTTTCTATCACTTTGCTATACTAACACTGTAATAGTAAGTACAGCATTTTCCTGAGTTCTATGCATCGTTCTAGTCTGAATCCTGAGTTCTCATCTGAACCCTGAGGGGGTTCAGACTCCAGAATTTGTACCTGGTTGGTCTGAGAATGGCTCTGAGGACCCCTGAACTGATGATGTCAAAAGTCTTGGGCTGACTTGGTAGTCTGGAGGACTGTGCCTGCCCTTAATCTCTAATTTAAGTAATTCCGTGCAGTCATTCACCACAGCAACAGATTGAGAATTCAATACATTTAATAAATCAACAGATTTAATTATCTCAATAGATGCAGAAAAGAGTGTTGATAAAATTTCCTACTCATTTTAATTAAGAAACCCACGAGAAACTTTAGTAGACTAAAAGAAAACTTTAACCTGATAAAGAGAATATATACAAACAGCATCATAAATTAAATTAAATTAATTTATTATTTATTTTTTGAGACGGGGTTTCACTCCTTTTACCCAGACAGGAGTACAGCGGCACTATCTTGGCTTACTGCAACCTTCGCCTACCGGATTCAAGAGATTCTCTTGTCTCAGCCTCCTGAGTAGCTGGGACTACAGGTGTGAGCCACCATGATCAGCTAATTTTGTATTTTAAGTAGAGATGGTGTTTCACCATGTTGGCCAGGCTGGTCTCGAACTCCTGACCTCAGGTAATCTGTTTGCCTCAGCCTCCCAAAGTGCTGGGATTACAGGTGTAAGCCACTGCACCCAGCCAACAACATAAATTTTAAAACATCTGAATTTTCCCTTTAAGATTAAGACGCAAGACAAGAATGCTACTATATAGCTGCTGTTCCCAAAATATACTGGCATTCAAGATAATAACAAGAAAAACAAATTCAAAACATAAAGATTAGAAAGGAAGAAACAAGACAGTTGTTATTTGCAGATGATATGACTTTCTTTATATAAAACCAAAAGAACGTGTAGATATATTATTTAAAATGGAATGATAGTTCAGAAAGATGGCTGCCTGTAAGGGCCACATGAAAACATCAGTTGCCATGTAATAACGTAGATGAAACCTGGAAACACAATGCAAAGCGGGGGAAAAAGTCCTAGAATACGCCAACATGATGCCATTTCCATAGGGCTCAAAAGCAAGCAAAACTAAGTGATAAACAAGCATGCATTTGAGAAAAAACTTTCTTTACACACTTATTTTTAAAACTATGTTCACAAAAAGGATATTCACCATGATATGGTCCTTAAAAGTCTTGAGGCCAGGTGTGGTGGCACACACCTGTAATCCCAGAACTATGGGAGGCTAAGGTGGCTTGAGCCAGAGAAGTCAGGACTGTAGCATGCGGTGAGCCACCATCACACCACTGCACTCCAGCCTGATCACACCACTGCACTCCAGCCTGATCACACCACTGCACTCCAGCCTGGGTGAGCCACGATCACACCACTGAAGTGCAGCCTGATCACACCACAGCACTCCAGCCTGGGTGACAGAGCAAGACCCTGTCTCAAAAAAAGAAAAAAAAAAAAAAGCCTCAATCTGCAAACAACCTACATACTCATCAGCAAATAAACCAGTAAATTAAGTATAAGATAGCTACTACTCTGCAATAGAAAGAAAGAACTGTTGGCATTCTCAATAACATGGATGAATCCCCAAAATATTATGGTGAAAAACTAGACACAAAAGAGTACATATTGTGTGATTCCATGTACATGGAATTCTAAAACAGGCAAAACGAATTTATGGAGACAGAAAACAAAATGGTGGTTGCATAGCTCCCTTTGGTTTCTGCATAGATCCCTAATGCTGCATCGTCTGCGGGGGCCACAATGATTCCACACTAGGTCGTCAACAGGCCTTTTATTGTAATCTGGCTCCTGCAGGCCTCCCGACACCTGCCTCTTGCCTCCCTACTCCCGCTACATTGACTTTCCCTCCAGAAACATTTCATGTCCACCTCAGGCCCTTTGCACAAGCTGTTCCTTCTGCCTACAGGGCTCCCTCCATCTCCCATGTTTGTGTGGGTCGATTCTTCTGTCATTCAGATCATACTTTGAGCAATGGAGAGATACCTCTGCCTTTCCTCTAAAGTAACTGCACCCAACAAGATCTAGCTGTTTGTTTGCCTGGCTGTCTTTCCCCTCTAGAATGTAGTGAGCAGGAACTGAAAGGGTCTTGTTTGCTGCTCCAGCATCCAGAGCAGAGCGTGTACTGGGTGCTCAGTAAATATCCGCAAATGATGAACAAATGTTGAGAGGAGAGAGGGTTAAAGATATTTGAGAACGGCTCACGGCATGTGATACGCTGGGTGATCTGCCTGTCTTTCTCTTCGAAGCCTTTGAGGTCAGACTTGTGCTTCTGTTAGGTGTATCACTGTGCAAAATCAAGTTTTATGTAAGTTACATTTTATTTAGAGTTGTAAACTAGAAGCTACTAATCTCCATAGATGTTGGAGTACAAACAATTTCTCCAAATTCTTATGATCTGTGCTTGAGATTAATTAGAATTCTTTTGTTTACCTGCTGGGGAGCCCAAGATTATACAAATGTCTTTTAAGTTTTTTAAATTATTTTTTACAGAGACTGGGTCTCCCTGTGTTGCCCAGGCTGGTGTCAAACGCCAAGCCTCAAGCAATCCCTCTGCCTCAGCCTCCCAAAGTGCTGGGATTAGAGGCGTGAGTCACTGTGCCTAGCCTTCTATAAATTTCTAAAAATCTAAATATCCTTCTTTACAGATCCCCGAACCATTGATCCCCAGCTCTCCTGCCTCTCCAGGGCTTTTCCTGTGGCTTTCTCACCCTCTTCACCTGCCATGGCTAGCAGCCTCAAGCAAGTTCCTAGGCCTCCACGCCACCACCACGGGAGTCTTTAAAAACATAGATCTCAGCTGGGCGCAGTGGCTCATGCCCGTAATCCTAATATTTTGGGAGGCCGAGACGGGTGGATCACCTGAGGTCAAGAGTTTGAGACCAGCCTGGCCAACATGGTGAAACTCCATCTCTACTCAAAATACAAAAATCAGCTGGGCATAGCGGGGCACAGTGGCTCACGCCTGTAATCCCAGCACTTTGGAAGGCTGAGGTGGGTGGATCATGAGGTCAGGAGTTTTGAGACCAGCTTGGTCAAGATGGTGAAACCCCGTTTCTACTAAAAATTAAAAAAAAAAAAAATAGCCAGGCATAGTGGCACACACCTGTAGTCCCAGCTACTGGGGAGGCTGAGGCAGAAGAATAGCCTGAACCCGGGAGGTGGAGGTTGCAGTAAGCTGAGATCGTGCCATTGCACTCCAGCCTGGGCCACAGAGCAAGACTCCAATTCAAAAGAAGAAAAAAAGGGAAGGAAGGAAGGAAGGAGGGGGGGAAAAAGAAAAGGAGGGAGGGAAGGAAGGAGGGAGGGAGGGAGGGAGGAAGGAAGGAAGGAAGGAAGGAAGGAAGGAAGGAAGGAAAGAAGGAGGGAAAGAGCGAGCTCAATTCTGGACAGCCCCATGCCCACCTGCATGACAGAGCACTCTCAATGGCCAGGCAGTGTCCTGGGGCCTTCACCTGACCTTCCCATGTTGTCACGATTCTACAGGGGACTGTGCAGAGGCTAACTTCAGCACAGTATCTGTCGCTGGCGGACAGTGGAGCAGGGATATTTGGGAAGAAGCTTTCTGAGTCCCAACCGTCCACCCCTGGACCATCACTTTATGCTGCCATTGCTGGAGAGCTTTAAGTGAGGACAGTGCTGAGTGTCTGAGAGTGTCAAAGCCCCTGCCCCGCTCCTGCAGGGGTGGAAGCGCTGGCTGGGCCCCAGCGTCTCCTGACAGCTACTCTGGGCCCCCTCCTGGCCTGCCTGGATCCCATTTCTTAGAACAAAGGTGAGACTGGCCACCTGCTTGTTTGTACTCAGGACGAACTGTGTACACAGCCTGGTCCAGAAAACCTCCTATGCTCCCTGCAGCTTGCCTGTCCTGTGTCCCCAGGAGGCCGACGGGAGGGGAGCTAGTGCCTGTCCTGGAGCTGCCCCTGCCCTGGCCAAATTTCTGGATCAATGACCAGTGACCAGAGGCCTGACGGTGCCACTGATCCACACGTTGGTGCCTTTTCCCCGAGGGGCTTAGATGTGGATGTTTCAAGGAAGGAAACAGCCTCTCCCCACCAACTTTTTTGATGAGGTTGAATTTAAACAGGATAAAACTTTGGCCCTTGTCACTTTTTAAAAAATGTTTTTAATTAAATCGCCTGGGTCACTGACACCCTGGGGAGACTAGGAAAGGCAGCCTTGCAGTTTGTTAATGATACACCATCTGTTTGTTCACACTGTGTGGTCACGTGATCTTTGCTCTGCAGAACGTCCTGTCTCACTGGCCTAAACCAGTTTGCGGCTGACATGCTCAGGATGAATGCCAGAAAATCTCTCTCTTTTTCTTTTTCTTTGTCTCTCTCTGTCTCCCCTCTCCTTTTTCCTTCCCTCTCTCTTTCTTTCTCTTATCCATTTGAAGACTCACTGTTAAAGCTAAGCTTGTTGGCAGAATTTGTATTAACTGTTTCTGACACTTCATCACTGGGTTTCATTGCAGCATTACAGCCTCCAGGAAGTTGTCCCTAGCTCAGACAAATGGGGGAAATTTCAAGGTCGGGGAAAGTCCATGACAGCAGGCCTTTGAGGGCAGCACCGCCCAGCCACTGTGCTGGGGGAAGCGTGGATCCCCCAGGGAAGTGGAGGGTGAAGCCAGGGAGCCCCTTCTGACCCATCGCCAGGGGTCTCATTGTGCCTCGTTTACTTTACCCAAACAATTCCTGACCATTGACTGACTCATCTCACATAATTAGATTAAATCCATGAAGAGTGCTGCATCCCAGGGTTTTTTTTTTTGTTTTGTTGTCGTTATTGTTTGAGACAGAGTCTTGCTCTGTCTCCCAGGCTGGAAGGCAGTGGCATGATCTCGGCTCACTGCAACCTCTGCTTCCTGGGTTCAAGCGATTCTCCTGCCTCAGCCTCCTGAATAGCTGGGATTACAGGTGTGTGCCAGCATACCTGGCTAATTTTTTTGCATTTTTAGTAGAGACGGGGTTTCATCGTGTTAGCCAGGATGGTCTCGATCTCCTGACCTCATGATCCTCCCGCCTCCACCTCCCAAAGTGCTGGGATTACAGGCATGCGCCACTGCGCCGGACACATCTGAGGTATTTTTAAGAGCTGTAAATTTTATTTGTTTTCGTGAAAATGGGGCCACAAAAGAAAAAATAACAGAGGCCCAGATGTTGACCCTGTGGTGGAAAATGCCATGGCTAATTGAATCTTTCTCTCTCACAACTGAGCCTGGAATCCAGGTGGCAGAAGATGGACGGCTGTGGAAGATGATTTAGAAAACGTTCAGAAGTCCAGCAACTCCAAGGTATTGGGGTGCCCTCAGACATTCTCAGCATAGCTTGTCTCTGAGAAACCAGTCCTTAGTCATTGCTTCATGAATAAGGTGACCAGTCACCACGGGAGGGGAGTATGTCTTGTGAGTGGCCTTCTGAAAGGACAGGAGGTGACTGGAGCCACAGAGGAAGTTGTGGTTGGGGTCCCAGGAGATAGCTGAGCCACCAGGCTGGGGACGCTCACACACGCAGGTCTCCACATGGCAGGCGCTGGCAGCACGTGACACCATATTATCTATCTGATTCCGTCACTTTTTTTTAGACAGTCTCACTGTATCTTTACCCCATACAATTCATGACCATTGACTCACCTCACATGATAATTAGATTAAATCCAGGAAGAGTGCTGCATCCTACCCATTTTTAAGAGCTGTAAGTTTTATTCTTTTTTATGAAAACTGGGCCTCAAAAGAAAAAATAACAGAGGCCCAGATGATGACCCTCTGGTAGAAAACTCCGGTCCCAGGCTAGAGTACAGCAGTACTGTCAGGACTCAGGGCAGCCTCTGCCTCCCAGGTTCAAGCGATTCTCCTGCCTCAGCCTCCCGAGTAGCTGGGACTACAGGTACCCGCCACCACATGATCTAATTTTTATTTTTGTATTTTTAGTAGAGACAGTGTTTCACCATGTTGGCCAGACTGGTCTTGAATGCCTGGCCTTAGGTAATCCACACACCTCGGCCTCCCAAAGTGCTGAGATTACAGGCGTGAGCCACGCACATGGCCGATTCCATCACTTACTTGAGACTCTGTTAAAGTTTAAGGTTTGTGTGTGCATTTGTGAGTGCATGTGTGTGTTTACACCAGCAGAGACTTTTTCTCTTTTCAGGGGAACTGGCCCATGTGGATGATTCATCTCTAGGTGTTTCACACTCTGGGCTTATGAAATAGTTTTCTAATCAGCAAAGAACTAATGGCCCAGAACTTTATCAACTTCTGATAGGAGTTTGCAGCCCATAAAACCCAGCTCAGCACACTCCCTGCAGAGAAAACATCTGCACCTGGGCTTCTTGGCCCAGAAGAAGGTGATGTATTCACTTCAGAGTAAAGTGTAGCCATTGTTCCTCCTCTCCGTCTGTCTTGGTCGGGATGGACCGCCTGCAGGGGGCCCTTACTGGGATATTGTTTCTCCAATTTATCTTTTACCTTCGAGTAAAAAGCAATAAGCAATGCTAATTACAGTATTTTCTGAAATTCAGTCCACACCTTAATGCTGAAACCATCCTGGTAAATTAACTCATACTGGTACGAAAATAACCCGTGTCATTATTTCTAAAGAATGAGATCAATGAAAGTTGCAGAAAACAGTGTGATCTTCAGCGATAAAGGGATGTGGAGTGCTTTGTTATTTTATATGTATACATAATGACTTAAATAGAGATGGGGTTTCACCATGTTTCCCAGGCTTGTCTCCAACTCCTGGACTCAAGTAATCCACCCACCTCAGCCTCCCAAAGTGCTGGGATTACGGTCGTGAGCCACCATGGCCAAGTGTGGAGCACTTTTCAATCTCTAGTCCAGCTTCACGGGTGAACACTTCATCATGTATAAGACAGACAGGGTGACACCGTCACCCCCATCTCAAAGGTAGCTCCTTGGACAAGAACATAATTCACTCTGAGAGGCCTTGGCCATTGCTGCACTGGAGTTGTGCTAGAAACACACCAGCTGTCTTTTTCTTCTTGTGCACCAGAATTGGACAATCCTGTGATCCAAAAAGAGCAGGGATGTTTTACCACTGGATTCATTTCAAAGAAGCATTAAACACACAGTGAGAAATCCAAATTCACTCAAGAACTATAATAAAGTGCTCAATAGTGGAATATCTCCCTGGAGAGGGAGGCTGAGTAATGGTTATTCTCGAAGCAGTTTTACTCCTGGAAGTAAAACCGAGTGGGAATGTCATCTTTGCAAGTAGCCATCTCAGTTAAAGCTTTCCAGGGGGTGGCAGGTACCCGCCTCTGGTTGTTCCTGGCCCCCTCCCTTCCTCCACCCTCTGTCTACCCATCCCCCCATCCTCAGGTCCTGGGTCAACCCCGCCCCCTGCAGCAGTCACTCCAGATCCTGTCCTGAGTGAACTCCCACAGAACTGTTGGTTAGACAGGCTATATCAGGCATGGGCCCACACAACCTCCAAGCTCTATAGGGTCTGTCCAATATGATGCAGAAGGTTCTCATTGGCAGAGTCATCCAGGCAGAGGGAGGCTCGATCTGCCATTCACTCCCATGGCCACTGCAGCATAGGGAAGAAAACAGGACAAAATGCACTCTGGCTCTTAGAGCTTTGTATTAGTCTGTTCTCACACTGCTATTAAAAAATTGCCCAAGACTGGGTAATTTATAAAGGACAGAGGTCTAATTGACTCACAGTTCTGCATGGCTGGAGAGGCCTCAGGAAACTTACAGTCATGGCGGAAGGTGAAGGAGAAGCTGGCACCTTCTTTACAAGGTGGCAGAAGAGAGGAAAGAGCAGGGGAAACTGCCATCATAAAACCATCAGATGACATGAGAACTCCCTCACTGTCATGAGAACACGTGGGGGAACCCGCCCCCATCATCCAATCACCTCCCGTCAGGTCCCTCCCTTGACACCTGGGGATTACAATTCTAGATGAGATTTGGGTGGGGACAAAGAGCCAAATCATAGCAAGCTTCCAACCAAAGTGACAGACATCGCTTGGACTCAGATTGCATGGGTCAAAGTAAGTCAAGTGGCCACCCCAACCATAAAAGGAGTGGGGGAGTGCAATCCTATGAAAACTTAGAATAGAAGAACCCCGGCTGGGCACAGTGGCTCATGCCTGTAATCCCCAGCAGGCTTTGAGAGGCCGACGCAGGAGGATCACTTTAGGCGAGGAGTTCGAGACCAGCCTGGGCAGCATAGCCAGACCTCGTCTCTACAAAATAAAAAAATTAGCCACATGGGGTGGCACATGCCTGTAGTCTTACCTTTCTACTCAGTAGGCTGAAGCAAGAGAATCACTGGAGCCCAGGAGTTCGAGGCTGCACTGAGCCACAGTTGTGCCACCGTACTCAAGCCTGGGCAACAGAGCAAGGGACTCTGCCAAAAAAAAAAAAAAAAAGGCCATGACAATTTGGTAAAGAACTCTAATGACTACCACGGGCTCCATGCCATCACATGCTGCGCTGTCATTTTAGGAACGATAGCATCCAAATGTCATCACTAGGGAGCTCTCTAGGCTAGGGGAAGAGGGGGCCTGCGTGGCCAGCTGCGGTGGTTGAATGGACGCTGGCATTCAAAGGGATGGCTGACGAAAAGTAGAAACAACCCAAATGTCTATCAACTGAGGAGCAGATAGACAAAATGCAGCATATCTAAACAATGCAATATCACTCAACAAGAAAATGCAGCGCTGATACATGCTATCACATGGGTGAACATTGAAACATTACGCTGAGTGAAATTAGTCACAAAATATGACATATTGTGTTATTCCATTTACACGACATGTCCAGGACATGCAAATCTACAGAGGCAGAAAGTAGATTAGTGGTTGAGTAAAGCCAGTGTGGTGGGTGGGGGTGAGGTTACAGAGAGGGACCGTTAAGGGACCCGAGAGTTTCTCTCGGGGTTGATGAAAATCTAAACTTTTTGTTGTAACAGTTGCACAACTCTGTGAATATGCTAAAAACCACTGAGTTTTATGCTATAAATGGTGAATGTTATGGCATATGAATTATCTCTCAAAGATGTTTAGGAGTCAATCCACTGAATAAGTTATCACTGATCAGAACATTTGTGATCATCTTCTCTAATGACAATTTCCATGTTATCTATAGTAGATACGGGCCAGGAATTGAAAAAGTATTCCAGCTTTTTCTTGAAAAAACCAAAGAAAATGCAGAGTTTTTGCAGAGGTATATGTCGGTATGAAAATAGATTAGCATCAGTTCTGTGGAAAGCAATTAGGTGTATGTGTGTATATATATATATATATATGTATATGTATCAATAATCCAAAATGTTAATGCAACTCTGTGTCTATTACATTTCAAATTCCCTATGATGTACACATGTTGTTTCATATCATGACAAAAGCAAACATTTTCAAACGGAAAAGCATCAAATGGGTGGCCAAGGCTGCAGCGGCTTGTTCAGTTCTACGCAATGATTTCTTTCTCATTCACAATCGTGCCTCTGGTGCCTGGCACGGTGTTGGGCACAAGTAGGTGCTCAAACAATGATAATAATGATAAGTAATGATGATAAATTAAAAATAATAAACACTGCTCAAATAATGACTCTTTTTTTTTTTGAGACAGAGTCTCACTCTGTTGCCAGGCTGGGGTGCAATGGTGTCATCTTGGCTTACTGCAACCTTTGCCTCCCTGGTTCAAGTGATTCTCCTGCCTCAGCCTCCCAAGTAGCTGGGATTACAGGCACGAGCCACCATGCCAAGCTAATTTTTGTATTTTTAGTAGAGACGGGATTTCACCATGTTGGCCATGATGGTCTCGATCTCCTGACCTCTTGATCTGCCCGCCTTGGCCTCCCAAAGTGCTGGGATTATAGGCGTGAGCCACCGTGCCCAGCTGCTTCCTGCAGTCTTGTGATGTAAGTTGTGTGCCTCTAACTTACTGCAACCTCCACCTCCCAGGTTCAAGTGATTCATCTGCCTCAGCCTCCCAAATAGCTGGGATTACAGGCGCCCACCACCATGCCCAGCTAATTTTTTGTGTTTTTAGTAGAGACGGAGTTTCGTTATGTTGACCAGGCCAGTCTTGAACTCCTGACCTAAGGTGATCCACCTGCCTCAGCCTCCCAAAGTGCTGGGGTTATAGACGTGAGCCACGGTGCCTGGCCCCTATATCTTAAGCTTTCCGAAAAGATACACTATTTTCCAAGTAGTCTGTCTTATCCTTGTGTGTCTTCATTAATGTAACAAATATGTCCTGTGCTCAGCACAAGACTTCTCACAGGGAGATGAAAAAAAAAAAAAAAAAAAAAAGAACCCAATTGCTATTCCCAATAGACTGCAGGGGTAAAAATAGAATGTTTTGCCTCAGATGAACTCTAGGATCTAGGGGTAAAAACACAAACAACATGAACACTACAGTCCAATATAAGAGAACATTCACGAAACAGTGGAAATGCAGGTGGGAATGTAAGGGGAACCAAGAAACTTTTCCCCAAGGAAATGGGATTTCATCTGGGCCTTCAGGAGAAGGCAGCTAATAGGCAGCAAAGGGAAAGCCAGGCATTCGCAGTAAAGGAAACCGGTGAGAAAAGCATAAAGTGGAAAGTGATTTTTTTCCTCTGGATTGGAGAAGAGCAGGGATGGCCTAACTTAAAGGGCCGGATAGTAAATATTTTAGACTTTTGGGCCACATATGAACTCTATCACATATTCTTGGGGGGGTGTGTGTGTGTGTGTGTGTGTGTGTGTGTTTTAAAACCCTTTTAAAATGTAAAATCATTCTTAGCTCAAAGGCCATACAAAAATAAAAGCAAGCTGAGATACGCCCTCTAGGACGGCTATAATTAAAAAGGCAGATAATAATAAATGCTGGCGAGGATGTGGAAAAATTGGAACCCTCATACACTGCTGGCGGGAATAGAAAATGGAGCAGCCGCTGTGAAAAACCGTCTGGCAGTTCCTTAAAAAGTTAAACCTAGTGTTATGTTACCATAGTTCCCAGCAGTTCCACGTTGGGACATGTATACATTCAAGAGAACTGAAAACATATGTCCACACACAAATCTGTACCTGAATGTTCGTAGCAGAATATTCAGAAGAGCCCAAAAGTGGAAACCACCCAAAGGTTCAGCAGCTGATGAATGAACGGATGAGTACAATGTGGTTTATCCATAAGACGGAAGATTATTCAGCCATAAAAAGAGATGAAGTCCTGATACATGCTATGATACAGAGGAATCTTGAAAACACTCTGCTGAGTGAGAGAAACCAAGCACAAGAGACCACAAATTGTATGATTCCATCTATGAGAAATGTCCACAGCAGGCAAATCTACAGAGTGAGAAAGTGGGTCAGTGGTTGCCTTGGGCTGGATGGCGGGGGGACGTGGAGGGCGGCTGCCAGTGAGGACAGCGTTTCCTTGTGGGTGATGAAAGTCTATCTGCAATTTGATAGTGATGAAGTTGCACAGCTCCATCAATATACTAAAAGCCACTGAATTACACACTTCGAAAGCATAACAAAATAGAATAAAACTGTGGACCAGGCATGGTGGCTCATGTTTATAATCCCAGCACTTTGGGAAGCCAAGGCAGGAGAATCACTTGAGCTCAGGAGTTTGAGACCAGCCTGGGCAA